ACATACAGAAAATGGTATCTATTTTGGATACTGCATTTTAACAGGAACACAGTCAACTCGGAGCTCATCCAGAAAAGCGCATCCCAGTTGATGAAGGGTGCAGAGGCTATAGCATAAATATAAATATAAAAATTCATTCATTCAACAAATATTTATTTGTTTGTTTGTTTGCTTATTTATTTATTTTGTGAGGAAGACTGGCCCTGGGCTAACATCCGTGCCCATCTTCCTCCACTTTATATGGGACGCCACCACAGCATGGCCTGACAAGCCGTGCCTTGGTGTGCGCCCAGGATCCGAACTCTGGCCGCCAGCGGTGGAGGGCGTGCACTTAACCGCCACGCCACGGGGCCGGCCCCTCAACAAATATTTATTGAGTGCAAAACACTACTTGATACTGGAGAGGGTTTAAAAGTAAAGATACCAGCATTATGGCCTTCAAGAAACTTTACAGTCTAGTAGGGAAGGCAAGATGAGTACATAAATAAATGTAATACAGATTTCACATTTGCTCCAAGACATAAGATATAGCACATGCAGCTGGAGGATACCAAGAAACATCTCATAAACGAATGGTATTTGAGCTAATCCTGGCAATGGAAAGGATTCCTTTTATTGAAAAACCCAAATAAGGGGCATCCCAAATAACAGAAATAGCATGAGCAAAGGTGCGGAAGCAGGAATGTGCGCGGTATGCAAGCCATCGAGAAATTCGGTGTGTCTAGAGCAAAACGTCCATCTGGATAAGGGACCTGAAAAGATAGATTTGAATCAAACTAAGTAGGCCCTTGGATGTTGGTAAGGAATTTGGACTTCATTTGGTAGTTAATGGGAGGAATTAAGAATTTCTAAACAGAAACATTAGAATGGACACTGCTGTTTTGCCTGTTCAACACTTTCTGGGGATAGCACTCCAATTTTCCTTAGGAAAACCATCCCTCCCCCAGCCCAGTTCACATCATGCAAGTAGAGATAACTAAATCCCAAGTCCCCCATTGATTGGTTCAGGGATTTGCACAGGCTCCAAACAGAATCAATAATGAGTGGGAGTCAAATCTGGGGCTTCAGTTACAGGGAGACAGAGAGACAGGAAGAGATGAGCTTTACTCCCTGATGGAGTTACTGGAAAAAAATCAGGCATGAATCTAGAACTGCTGCGAGCCATCTTGCCACCATGAGAGGAACCACCTGAGAATGGAACCAATTCAGAAGAAAGCAGAGCTCAGAGATGGGACCAAAGTCCTGATAACATCGTTTGAGTCCCTGGAACCAAGTGTGCCTTAACATCTACTTCTAAACTTTTCAGTAAGTAAGCCAATAAATTTCCTTTCTGGTTTAACTTGGTTTGAGCTGCGTCATTGACCGCTCATTACGGAAAGATTCCTGCTTAATACAAACCTCATCAGAGCTGTTTTAGGCATCTCTGAGGAGGAAAAAGACTGAAGGAAAGGTGACTAGTCAGTACAATAGTAATAGCATAATACAATAGCAAAGTGAGATGAGGAATCTCAAGGCAACATCAGACAAACCCAAACTGAGGAACATTCTATAAAATAACTGACCTGGCCGGTAATCTTCAAAAGTATCAAGGTCATGAAAAACAACAACAAAAAGACTAGATCAAAGGAAATGAAGGAGTCATAACAACTAAATGCAACAATTGACCTTGAATTGGATCCTGAGCCAGAAAATGGGAGATTAATGGGAAAATAGGCAAAATTTGAAAAAGGTCTATAGATTAACTCTATTAATGTTACTGTCTTGATTTTAATAATGTACTGTGTTTCTTTAAAATGTTAACATTTAGGGAGTGTTGATGAAAGGCATACAGAAATTCTTTGAACTATTTCTGCAACGTTTTGGTGAGTTCTGAAATTATTTAAAAAGTAAAAAAAAATAAAAACATGAAATTTGGGTTTGATGAATAGGAGAGGGGATGGGTTTGGGAAATATGTTAATAAGATGACAAGAAGTTGCCTAGATCTGGAGAGAAATGGAAAAACGAGAAAATAACAGGGTTCAACCCTGCAAGAATGGTGGCAGTCCTGAAGCAAGTCGAGTCTGGAAGAGAAACAGGTTTGGGAATGAAAAGGAAGACTTTCATCGGGCATGCTGATTTGATGTAGCAGCTAGCCTCCAAGTGAAGCTGTCCAGCAAAGACTGAAACCTTGGAACCGGAACTAGGGAGAAAGGCAATGGCTAAGGATGGAAATTTTACATAAAGGAAAAAGATGACACCACAGGAATGTGATGAAGTGACTAAGGGAGACGCTGTAGAGAAAGAGGCGTGAGAAGGACAGCCCAGGGAAGGAGCCCAGTGGGGGCAGGCAGAGCAAACCACAGAGATTTCAGAGAAGGGATCAGCTGAAGAATGCTTACACCAGAGGAGAGATGTTTGTGCAGAGCTATTCTCCAACATATGAAGAAGTGTTACGAGAAACGTGTAAGAGAGGTATTTTGGATTTTAAAAAAAAGGTCAGCTTAAACCTTAATAAATTATTAAACACGTTCTGACCCCTATTCCTGCACATTTGCTGCCTTCTCAGTTTCTGCTGGCTAGTTGAGTTAGTCGAAATGGGAATGTTCATTTGTACCCTTCAAATTGTTACTCGCTTGTGTTATTACCCACTGGCCTCTCTGGTGAACTTGACATCACAGATAAGAACTGGCTTAAAACTTAGTCTAGATAGATCCAGAGGATAGAGCTAAGCCAAATAGCAGCCATCAGAAAAACTCTAACAATGCAGTGAGCTGTGAGGTAATGAACTGATGGAGAAAATGATTCCTAGACCTCCTTCCAACCCCACAGTGCAGCAAGCTTCTGCTTTTTTTGTTGTTGTTTTCTGTTAAATGTTCATGGTATCTACTTCATACAGCTGCTGCGAGGATGATAGGAGATACAGTACATAAAAGCGCCTGGCACAGGACAGATGTTCAGTCTACATTAGTTGCTTATGAATCTATGAAGCGGACTAGGAAATCCGAGTCCAATCTCCATGGAATTACCAATCTCAGCCACTAGAGGGGAATCTCAGTCACACTCCTTTGATGAGACTCAGCTACAGCCTGAGGCGGCAGGCACCCCGCCGGATACACCAGCCTTTCCTATGCCGGGAAACTCACTCCCACTCAGGAAACCTGGCTCCATGCTGAACTCCAGGGTGTTTTCTCTGAGTCACTATACTCTGCCACAGTTGCAAAATGATCTGGCAAAAGTCCCTCAAAGGCTTGTACTGCTTACTGAGTAACATCCAAACTCCTCGCCAGAATCCAAGGCCTTCCTCAATCTGTCCCCTTGCTGCTCATTCTGTTCCTTCTTCTCGATGCCTTTCCTCTATCCTGACCTTCTGAAACCCTACTTCTTTTTCAACCACACAAATCCATCTCCTCCATTACTCCCTCCTCACTCTTTAGAGTGATCTAACCCACCCCTGAGCTCACATGCCATATAATACATCCATCTATCTTGTATGAAATTGATTTATGTATGTGCATCTTTTCAATAGATTAGAAACTCCATGAGTAAAGAGGCCAGTGGGTAACCTGACCAGGGTAACACAGCAAGAAAGCGGCAAAAATGGGAGTCTAACCCAGGCAATCTGGCCCAGAGAGCTCTTGCTGTTAACCATTATTTCACACTATATAGTAATCTTTCATTAACCACAGTGCCTAGCTCAGAGCTTTGCACTCAGTGCCATTCAGTAGCTTACCAAATGAATAACTAAAAAAACCAACACTAATCTAATTAGCACCTCTTCAACCTTCACTGACTTATGGGCTATTGGGAACCAGCAACTCAGTCTCATTAATCTGAATTAGAGTGCCTGGCCATAGATCTAATTATGAGCAATTTCAGAATCATAATTACTGTTCCATTTTGTCTCTTGATCTGTAATGTCTATAAGGACCTACTCCCAGCTTCTCAGGGAGAAAAAAACAACATGATTGCTTACTGAAGCCTAGGAAATGTGTTTTTGTGAAGCTTCCAGCTCACATCTTCACTGTGAAGTAAGGGGGATGGACTGGATGGTCTCTGAGGGCCCTTTCTTCAGTTTTAACAGTCTATAATTCTGAGACAATGGAATTAAAAAGAGCCCTCTGCCTCTGTGTCAGGAGATATCATTTTGAGTCTCATCTCTGTCATTATTACAGTGATCTTACCCAAGTTCGAGTCCCCAACTCTGACTCCCCATCCGTAAAACTTGATTCATTCAAAATTTTTGAGTGTCTGGGTGCCAGGCACTGGAAGATACAGTAATGAACAAAACAGACATGGGCCCTGCTCATCCAGCTAAGAAAACCAGAGGACACCTATATTGACGGGCTGTCCTAAGGAAGAAACTGAAGATCAAAGTATTGTGTAAACTATAAAGTCTAGTACAGAATCAAAAGATGATGATCTTGACAGGATTCCAGTTTTGTCAAATCTAACCACAACAAAACCACAACCTATTTTGCTCTTTTTGAGAAAAGCCTGATACTGTATTTTAACCAAAGCCAGTCAACTTGGCATGCAGCTCTCTCGCCTCTCCCCCGCTTTCCTTGTAAAGGTAGGGTGGGGTTATCCGTCTTCGGGGTACTCCCGGGGTACATGCACAGCTCGGTTGCTGGCAGAGGCCAGGTCCCTAGCGCACTCCCGCAGGTCTCGGTCCGAAAGCCATTAGGCTGGGTTCTCCAGCTCTCAGCTGTCTGAGTGACTCCCAAGTCACCAGCGCCGGCTCGGGCCTCATCTTCCTCATCACAGGCCACACCTGTGAGGAAGCCCTCTCCCACAGCTACTGTGAAATACGGATAGGATCACTGAGCATCAGAGGTGAGGGTTCCCTTAAGGTTCCATCTCGAGCCCGGGGCTGCTCCTTGGGCGGGGCCAGGCGCCCCGGTCCTAGCACTCGCTTGCTGGGTGGCTCTGGGTAAGGTCACCCAGCGGCCCTACTGGCTGTTCTGCATTCTAGGGGAGGGTCTGGACAATCTCAAGGCGGCCCTGGGAGCTTCTAGCTTAAATGGAAGAGACGGAGCCGCCGGGTACCAGGAACCGTAGCACCAGCGGCGGGAAAGCCGGGCGCGCAGGGCCCACGTGACGTGCGCGGGGGCGGGCAGGGGCG